TACACTCGTCTAAAACAAATCACATATCTTGTTAGTATATAAATGAATTGATAGTTAACCAGAGGTCAAGAGATCCACAGAGGCACGTTAAAGATTGATATACACTCAATAGTGTGTTTGTATCTCAATGTATCTAGGCGTAATGCAGTCAAGAAAAGCATATCCCCATTTCTCTCCGAAACCCGGCCGAGTATGTCAAATCAGTGTTTTCTCAAATCGAACCCACCTACACCCGTATTGGTGCCCTCAAATACGAAAACAACCATTGAGGGAGAAGAGACAGAAAAAAATGTCATTTATCAAATTACAGTTTCTTCAGTTTCGATCAATTTCCCGAGCACCACATGGCATTAGTTCAATTTCATGCCTGTATTGCGCAATAAGTACTCACCACATGTATGCATTCCCAGCGCACATACCACAACAAGACACGCGAGAACATTTGATAAATTAGCTTCCATTGTCATCGGATGTCCGTTGGCACTACTGTTGTCGAAGCATGTGTACAATGGTGAGGTTAACTTGAACGTCAACTTGAGATATGTTTATCTTGTGCAAACAAAACATGTGCTGCCGTCACGTGGTACTCATGAATAATCCAAATTATTATACATCTGTCACCGTAACGCCATAAGTTACAGCGTGCCGTAAATTTGTGATATTGTACCGGGTATTTTCATTCTACCACATTAGGAAACGCGAATACCAAATATGGAAGGATTACGCGCATAAGCGTCCTCTAATAATAATAAAAAAAAACATAGCTACCCCCTAGGTTTGACCACTGCGAGTCGGTCGATACTCCTCCTGTCTTTGCGCATACTTTGCAGTATCCTCGCAATAACGTCACAGCATGCAACCGAGTTAGGAAATGGCTACATTTCGTTCTCTCAACGATGTGTTCAATACTAAGAATATATTTTTTTTTTAAATATGGTTATTAATTGGTAAATAATTATCAGGGAAGTAATATGCCATTCAAGATTGTAAGTTTCTCGTGTAGAACCATTGTCATATTGTTATGGTCTAACTATGGCTAACAGCGACAATTCTGCCACATCAGGATACTAGTAGATTTTTTTTTAATATGAACCCTGATATATGTTGTGGATTTTCGTTTCTTTCTTTTAGGTATTTTATCGTCTTTGAATGTAACAGGTAATACGCACGTGTTTTGAATTTCTTTAATATGAGTCCCAATAATAATTTTATCGATTCAGTTTTTAAAACGGAATCTGTTCAACATATGAACTTATTCAAAATTCTGGAACTCGTAATAATATAAATTTTCACATCGAGTCACAGTTTGGTAAATTAGATGCCTAATAAGTGAAGTGTGAGTAATTGCATCGAAAATTACTTCGTCTACGAAACGCAGCATGAACATGTTCGAAAGAGTTACACAAAGTATTCTCTATTTTGAAAATGTGTGACAAAATTAGGTCATAAGAATTCTGTTTTGTTCACATCGGATGCACTGACATTGTAGTGCCTGATTCAAATAAAGTCAAAAGGAAAACAGTAGCGGCATGAATAATGTTTTCTGACTTTTTAGGATGTTACATTATGACTACAAGCGAAAAAAAGACGTATACAACGGAAATCCCGCAAAGTATGTTATTTGGGAAGTACGAGATCGAACCGTACTGTTTTTGTGCATATTCTAAAATAATATTTCAGTAAACTAGTACATTACAGGTGTTTGTTTGATGGATAGTTTTATATCTTAATAAATTAATGATGTCATACCATATTATCTATTTCAAAGAACAAGAATATGCAAGATTGAAAGATTTTATAAAGCGAAAATCACATATCAACGAAATGAATGACAATATTAAATTAAAATAAGATTAACATTATTTGTTGATTAATTAAAATTAGTTGACCAATAAGATTAACTTAATTAGATAATTAGGAATTTAATGTAGCTAGGAGTAGGTATGTATAGGGTAGAAATGAAAACGTCTAAATTATTGTGCAACTAACAAATGAAACATTAGGAATCAAAATAACATGGTCGACATTTTGCAAAACATCAGTATTTTGCTAATATTAATCATCATTAGGATTTAATTCAGTACGAATGTGAGTTTTCTTATCTTTATATGTCATGATATACATGTACATTGAAATTGACATCTAAAAATGTAAGGTTTCCATATATATGTACATTATGTTTTTACAAATCTAAAATTTCGAGCAACTCTACTACTGTAACAATGAATTTACTCACAGAGCTATGCAAACAATTATGAAAATAATAATGTTTGTGCATTGTATTAATACACTCCGCCCGTTTTGGGTAATTTGGTTGAAACACTATAACAGAAAAGGGGTAACCATGTTCGTTTAGATGTAGTACATTTTTGAACAAATATTTCTAAAATATAATGAATTTAAAAAATGTACATCTTTTTTTCTTCCACTATCAGATTACCAGATTTTTCATAGCAGAACAATTTGCATACTTGGCACAAATTTTCTGATAATATGTCCCAATGAATTATTTACTAGCACCAAAGTATCTTTAAATTTTAATTAAAAAACTAATGTGAATTAAACATTATGGGCTTTATTGAGTGAACCATGGGTATATGTACTCCCATTAAAAATAATTATTTAAAGACAACATTAAATACATTTTCATCACGGGCAAAATATACAGTTTCAAACAACAGTACTGAAAATTACATGGCATGTTTCATATTCTAATTTTGAACATTACTTATGTTTGTATTATGAAGAATAATATAACTCAACTAGACTCTATTCAGTCAGGTAGACGTGCGTGTGTACTTATTTGGTGCGGTGTTAGAACTCGTCATCTTGACATTGTAACATGTTGCACTAAGGTCAAACACAAGTTCAATACAATTCAATACCTGGTATGAACGATCATATGCCCATGGTGAGCGGTTCAAGGTCAATCAGGTTTATTTATAGAAAGCATCAGTCGTGTACACAGAGATAGAAGTATGTACACAGATTGCAGACGAGTATATTATCTTATTTACATACCTTGTATACAATACGGTATTTTGAATTCGGTTGACCTTGAACATGTTCAAGGTTAAGCACAATTAAGTTACGCTTTAAGAATGTAAAGGAAGCATCAGTTTTGTCAAAATCTCGTTTTGACATTGTGGTTCAATGTATATGCTCTCATTGATGGCCTGTGGGGTCGCTGTTGTGAGATAAAGGATAAGATGTTAGACTGAATTTGTATTTCACGCATACGGCACGCTGTAATTGCGTTACGATGACAGATGTATGATAATGTTTATTATGTACATAACATTTATTGCTTCCTACTATTATGAGTACAGGCACGTTAACAAACAACTCATCTCATTACTGTAATCAGATATTTCCCTCACGATGTCACATTAGCTAAGGGACGACGTCAAAAGATCGATGTCGGATAAAAAAACTTAATCCCTTTAGTTTTTTTCCAAACCCCCCTACCCCCCACTGAAACTTAATTGATAAATATTGGTCATGGCGTCAGACTACATTCACCATTAAATAC